TGTGTGTGTGTGTGTGTGTGTGTGTGTGTGTGTGTGTGTGTGTGTGTGTGTGTGTGTGTGTGTGTGTGTGTGTGTGTGTGTGTGTGTGTGTGTGTGTGTGTGTGTGTGTGTGTGTGTGTGTGTGTGTGTGTGTGTGTGTGTGTGTGTGTGTGTGTGTGTGTGTGTGTGTGTGTGTGTGTGTGTGTGTGTGTGTGTGTGTGTGTGTGTGTGTGTGTGTGTGTGTGTGTGTGTGTGTGTGTGTGTGTGTGTGTGTGTGTGTGTGTGTGTGTGTGTGTGTGTGTGTGTGTGTGTGTGTGTGTGTGTGTGTGTGTGTGTGTGTGTGTGTGTGTGTGTGTGTGTGTGTGTGTGTGTGTGTGTGTGTGTGTGTGTGTGTGTGTGTGTGTGTGTGTGTGTGTGTGTGTGTGTGTGTGCGTGTCTGTGTGTGTGTGTCTGTGTGTGTGTGTGTGTGTCTGTGTGTGTGTGTGTGTCTGTATAACGCATAACTCATGAACCGATACACAGAAAAACACCAAATTTTAAACTTAAGCTTTGTTTCAGCGTCCAATGAGCTGATTATATTTTGGGCAGAGTCGGAACATCTGGGGGGGTACTTTATAGGTGGTCATTTTTATATTTTATGGAATATATCTGTTATTTACTTTTGGAGAAGAAAATTCTTTAAATAAAAGTTACTTCTAATATAATTATCTATAATTTTTGTTAAATGCAAAATTTTCCTAAAATGGTCCGTATTCGAGAAATTTGACAAAATGTAAAAAAAATAATTTTTTATAAAAATTGTTCAAATAAAAGTTGTTTGTAATATAATTCTCTTTAATTTTTATTTTATACATAATTTCTCTAAAATAGACCGTATTCGAGATATTTGAGAAAATGTGTAAATTTCGAATTTTGAAGAAAACTCAAAAACGGATAAAGAAAAAAACATTAAATTTTAAACTTAAGGTTTATTTCGGCCTGACGTGAAATGATTAGATTTTGGACACAGTCGGAACATCTGGGGGGGTACTTTATGGGAGGCCACTTTTATATTTTATGGAATATATCTGTTATTAATGTTTGGAAAAAAAAATTGTTCAAATAAAAGTTACTTCTAATATTATTATCTATAATTTTTGTTTTATGTAAAAATTTCCTGAAATGGTCCGTATTCGAGAAATTTGACAAAATGTGCAAAATTCTGATTTTTATGAAAGTTTTTGAAATAAAAGTTGTTTGCGATATCGATCTCTATAAGTTTTGTTTATACATGATTTTTATAAAATGGACCGTAATGAAAAAATTGTAGGAAATTTAAATTTTTCAGTATTTTCGTTTTCCATGAATATCTATAGAAAAATGTTTCGAGGTAGATGTATGTGGACAATGTATATATTTAGTTTATCCTCTAAACATTTATAGAGATGCTGCAATAGGTTGTACAAAATAACCGGAAAAAGCCTATAATAACTAGATAGGAAAGTCATGTGTTGGACACATCAGATTTTTATGTATGTTCTGCGATTATTCTTTAACACGGTTTTCGATTTCAATGATTCTTTTTAAAGGGGGTACTTCAGGGGTGGTCCCATATAAATTTGGTCAAAATCTAATAATTGGGCCCATGAGAAAATCCTCAAACTCTTTAGTTTTTTATGTATGTTTAGCGATAATGCTTTACCACCTTGTCCGATTTATATGATTCTTTTTTTGTTAGTAAGGGGGTACCTCAGGGGTGGTCCCATATAAATTTGGTTAAGATGTGGTGATGGAATCTGCACGTTTTTAAAGTCGTTTTTTTTTTTAATTTTTAATTTCTAATACTTGTTTAGATGAAGAATTACTGCATTTTTAACCAGGTGGAGCACCTCCTTACTAAGCAGTTATAGTGAGATACTAGTTCGATGTTAATTATACGAACAAACTGATTCTATTCCTATAAGTCAATTTTGTACTTATTTCAGATAAACATTTATTAATGTTTTAATACTTATTATTATGCTCTCCTCCCCTTTCCAAAACCAGTAAAATATTCCGAGTCTAAAACTAGTTGCCAAGAACCACTATTAAGCGATAATTTTTGTTTTTTAATTTAATATTTTTTATTATTTTTATTTGCCACTGGTGAATGGATGTTCCTTCTGGACTCCAGGATCTTTGGCTGGTGACAGTGCTGCCTCAATTCCTTAATAGTTATTACCAACAGTAGCTAAAGACCTATCAGTAATTAAAAATGAACTTTAGACTTCCTGGTCGTTACAACATTGGTTTTTAGCTTTTTTTAGCGTTTTTAAAGATACTCCAAAACGTACAAATTCGTGAAACATATTCTTTATTAAAAAAATATATCACAACAAGAGGCACAGAAAATATTTATTGGATAACTCATATACATTTTTTTAATCAATATCATTTTCGTTTTTACAACCGGACTCTGATTCAGACTCATCACTACCTAAATTAATATTAATTTATTCTAGATTATAAATATCTAATTGCTTGTATTTTTCCCAATCGGAAACAATTACGCTCAACATTCAAAAAATGTATCGGATGTGGATATTCAAATGCAGCAAATACATGTAATATTACGGCAAAAATCTTTAAATCTACACCACTGAACAATGCAATACATCACCTAACCTTACTTACTTATGAAAAGACACTTCATCACTCGCATTATCCAGTTTTTTGCACAAAAAGCACTCGTGAACCATATTGTTAGCTATACTAAAACTATATGCCGAAATATTTCCAAAAAAGTATAAAAATCAACAAAAACGCCCGATATGGGAGAATTTACTGTAAGGCAACGTCGCAAACTATCGATCGATGAAATACCATACGTGACGTATAGTATGAATGAATCAAGGTTATTTTCAATTGCGGTGTTGTCACGTGTAACATTTTTAAAATCCATGCATTTATTTACAGGCCTAGTAATGGTGTTTGCAAAGTTATTTGGTCTAAAAATAGGTGCTGCTAGAATATCAAGTTAAATACTTTGTACACATTTTACACGTCTTTGGTTTTGTCACAAGTCATTTTAGTTAGAGAATTATTATTAGAAATATTTCGGGAAATATTACAACAACTCTGCCCACAATGCACCGGAATGGGAAACACTGCACTAGGTACCAAAATGAATTGGTGGGGACGCTTGATGTGTCGCAATATATCTCGAAACTATTCTAATCAATAAAACTTATTGCTATTAGTGAGTCATAGGTAAAAACTATTTTTAATATAATAATAATAATAATACTCTCCCTAATTCACCCCCTTACGAGTGAATTTTAACCCCAAAAGCTGAGCTTGTCCTGGGAAAGGGACGGCTATTATTATTATTTGCCGTGGCGCTCCGGGGCGACTTAAAGATGATTGATGGTGCCATTTGACTTGCAGGTGAGGAAAACCCGGAAAACCTCACCCACCATCATCGAGACGGTAATGTATGGCGAATTTTTTTAATCTGCATGTCATATCAACAGAAATTGAATTTCTATTAATACGCCACACATCAAATCCTAAACCGAACCATGCAATTTAATTAAAAATCCACATGGTCTGGTCTGGGATTCGTAACCCAGCAGTCTCAGACTCATAAACTTGCCTATAAATGAATATAAGCGCGATAGACCGCTACACCACCGTGCCCGATAAGGGATAATTACACAGCTTGGTAACCACGCACCAGGCAACGCATGTTGGTTCTTTCAGGAAATAGCTACGCGCTACGTTTCTCTGCAATGTATGACCGGGTTTAAAGGAAAATAGAAAAGCTTTGATAATAATACAGTTTAGTACATATATAAAGATTTGTTTAAAAATTATTGGGGGTAATTACCCCTCATTACCCCCTGTAATAAATAAAACAACAAAATCTGTAAGTCTTAGTAACAGTACCTAATTTATTGAATATTTTTATATTTTACTACTAGTTTCGATCACTCTGGTTCATCATCAGGTTTGTGAAATCAAAAATGAGGATGAAAGACTAGAACAAAATTTCAATAAATGTCTGTAAGATATTTTTTTGTTATATTAATTTACTTAATAAATTAACATTTTATACGATTTGAAAGCTTAAAGAAAATATCAAATTTTGTTTTTAAATTAGAGTTTATTAAATATTGGTTTAATTATTTTATTACTTATGTCATTGAAGAGCATTTGGAGGGGGTCAGTTTCATTTTAGGTCATTTTAGTTCCCCCTTTCTTAGAATAAGTTTAAAGCATTTTTTTATATTTTCTATTATTCGGAAGATATTGCGAGCTGTTGCGAGTTTTTAAATTGACATTCCATGTTCTAAATTTTCGAATAAAAGCTTAATAGAAGTTTAAAAGTGTTATCTAACAACAGCTTCGAATATCATTAAAACTTTTTTCTACGTTCATGCAAAAAACAAAACTTTATTGAACTATATTTAGTGAAAAAACTGGTTCTTTATTGCACTAGTGCAATTTTATTGCACTCATCTGTCATTTTACTACAGCCTTTTATGATCATGACAAACATAAATATTTAAATCAATGCCAAATATTTAGTCCATTTTCATTTTCTGTGTTACGTTTTAAAAACAATTGCATATTTTATATTATTTTTAATCATTTAATAAATAAATTAATAAAAAAATGTATTTTAATTAAAATGTCATTACAAATTATAAACACAAACGTAAATAAATGCCTCAAACAAAGGTACACGATCACGGCTACTATGATTTGGATAATACAACTGCAGTTCTACAAAACATTCTTTAGTTTTTGCATGAACGTAGAAAAAATATTGTATGCAACTCGTGCAAAAAGTGTTTATTGCACTCGACGTGTTGTCAAACTCGGCCTGACGGCCTCGTTTGGCAATTTCACGTCGCGTGCAATAAACACTTACTTTTTGCACTTGTTGCATAAATAATTATTAAGTATATTATTTTTATTATTTTTCCCTGATAAAATTTTTCGATTACCTTTCAGGGCATCCCTTATGGACATTACACTAGTACGGTTCTGTAGGTCCTCTGTCGTACGTTATCTCTTTGTCTAAATTTGCCCACGTATAATATTAATTTCGCTTCTTTGATAAAAAATTCACTAAGGTTGGAAGCATTTTATTATTAGCAATTATTTTTGCCAATATTTGGCTCGTTTTTTGCAATGATTTTAATGCGAGAGTTTCTAGTTTTTTTCAGTGGTAAGTAAAATTAATATATGCATAATTTTGTCGCCATAATAGAGGGACCATAGTGTGTATTTCGTTTTTACTTTAAATTTTTTTTATAAAAAAATTGAAATCCATCTAATAACTATTTATGTAACCAGTACTTATGTAACCAGTACTTATGTAACCAGTACTTATGTAACAAGTAAATATTTGCAGAACGAACGGAGCGAGATCCCGCAAGAAGAAGGAGTTCCATAAAACTGCATTTTGCAAAGTGTTACATACAAGATTTTTTATAATTTTTACTTAATTATTTTTTAAATTGTGTTTGGTAAAAAAATTACTGATAGTCCTAGAGCTGAGAGTAAAATAAACTGCCTGATAAATAACTAAGGTTTGATAGTTATTGTTATTACTGTCAAAAAAAAATCGCTCGTCTGCCGGGCTTTAGTAGTCGCCGTTATGACACACAATTATCAAAATTTAAAAAAATCGAAACACATTTACCTCATTTGAACTAAGAAAAAATTTGCATCAAAGAGAGAAGAAAATAAAATACACATTACATGTAAAATATGGAAGGCTGCGGCGCCAAGCTTACCAGTTTTTGAAACAGCCTGTGTTAAAATTAAAAAAAAATGCCTTTAATAATGTCATCAGATAATTAATATATAAAAGGTTATTGTCAAATAAAACGGGAACTCATTGATGATAATTGGAGAAGTTTTGAAATCAAAGATATATCTTTATTGAAGTAGGTAACCCTAATATACAAAAATATAAAAGTTCAAAAAACTAAATACAAAAGTTCAAAATACAAAAAATCTAAAATATAAAATAAAAATTGTGACGGCCTACCCCCCTGCCCCTCTTTATTTGTTTTTCGTTCATTATTTTACTCTTAAATGAAATATTATTTACCTCACAAGTTTATTTTACTTTAAATTCTATACTTACTGTAATTGGCCTTTTTTTCTCTAGTAGTAGAAATGAACAGCGTATTCACCAGTTGGTTAACTTACTATTAAACTTTACCATCTTGATTTGTACCATTTATCCAAGATAGCCCATCCATTTATATTACCAAAATATTGATTTTTATAATTTATATTAAAATACTCAAATTTCACCCATCGAAAACAGATGTCTATCCTGTCTTTTGGGGTAGATGACCTGAAGGCCATGTGGTTTATTGGTTAAATTGATAATATTTTGTAGCAAATGTCAAGCCGCCCTTAAACGAAACCCCGGTGGTATCTCAAAGAAGTTACATAAATCTTTTGACTCACCATTGGAAATACAGACATTAGATTATGTACTTATTTCATCTAGCGTTGTGACGGTGTCGATTTAAGTACGTTGCAGGGTTGAGCGTCGAGGCGCCTAGCGTCGTGGTGGAAAGGAAGGTATTTAATATGGTACTGCATTGGGACAGATATACGGTAAAATTATGTAGGTGGTGCGGGACGTGATATTATGAAGGAAATATTTATGGACGGCAAGCGTCGGAAATAAGGCGTGAGACGTTGAGCGTCGAAATGAGTGTACAGTAGGAAATACTTAGAAGGTGAGGAATGTGACAGCGTTTGAGATGTAGGGAGCAGGGCGACAGGACGTTGGGCGCCGAGACGTTGACATCTTCGGGATAGGAGATATTGTAGGGATATACGTCGTTTAGGAAGAGTATTTTAGGAAAGGTACTGACTACTGAACTTGAAATATAACTGGATACAAATAATAAATGAATGCTTGCACATCAAATAATTAAAAATGAATGACATGCATGCACCTCAAATAATTAAAAATGAATGAATCTCGAGCTCATTTGGGTCTGGCTTTTTATAATAAAATTTTATTGGCTTTTGTGACGTCTCTATGTCTTTAGTTCTCATGAAATATGGTGGGTGCAGGGGGTGGCTTATTTATTACTTGCCTTGAAAGCTATATGTATCGAAATATTGTCGAAATTGGTCTTAACATCGAAACTAGCAAGATAAGCGAGTTAAGTGTTTTAATGATAATTACTTCGTGAAAAGAAATATGTTTTCTTTGGGCTGGTCTTCAGAGACACGTGGATATGTTACGGACGTGGTTATAGCTATTATTTATTAGGTGTCGTAAATAAGATTTTATTACCTGGGAGATTTTTCGTTAAATGAACGATTTTGAATTTAATAGGAATACAATATTATATTTAATAAATGGAATTAATAAATTATCAAGGTACCTGAGTGCGGTAGGTTACAAAATATATACAAAAATATACAAAAATATACAAAAATATACAAAAATATACAAAAATATACAAAAATATACAAAAATATACAAAAATATACAAAAATATACAAAAATATACAAAAATATACAAAAATATACAAAAATATACAAAAATATACAAAAATATACAAAAATATACAAAAATATACAAAAATATACAAAAATATACAAAAATATACAAAAATATACAAAAATATACAAAAATATACAAAAATATACAAAAATATACAAAAATATACAAAAATATACAAAAATATACAAAAATATACAAAAATATACAAAAATATACAAAAATATACAAAAATATACAAAAATATACAAAAATATACAAAAATATACAAAAATATACAAAAATATACAAAAATATACAAAAATATACAAAAATATACAAAAATATACAAAAATATACAAAAATATACAAAAATATACAAAAATATACAAAAATATACAAAAATATACAAAAATATACAAAAATATACAAAAATATACAAAAATATACAAAAATATACAAAAATATACAAAAATATACAAAAATATACAAAAATATACAAAAATATACAAAAATATACAAAAATATACAAAAATATACAAAAATATACAAAAATATACAAAAATATACAAAAATATACAAAAATATACAAAAATATACAAAAATATACAAAAATATACAAAAATATACAAAAATATACAAAAATATACAAAAATATACAAAAATATACAAAAATATACAAAAATATACAAAAATATACAAAAATATACAAAAATATACAAAAATATACAAAAATATACAAAAATATACAAAAATATACAAAAATATACAAAAATATACAAAAATATACAAAAATATACAAAAATATACAAAAATATACAAAAATATACAAAAATATACAAAAATATACAAAAATATACAAAAATATACAAAAATATACAAAAATATACAAAAATATACAAAAATATACAAAAATATACAAAAATATACAAAAATATACAAAATTATACAAAAATATACAAAAATATACAAAAATATACAAAAATATACAAAAATATACAAAAATATACAAAAATATACAAAAATATACAAAATACAAAAAATATACATAACACTATCAAATAAAAATTTTTAATCAACATTTACACTTATCTCATCAATCATAAACATGTTTCATCATTTTATTGTTAAAAGCTATTACTGACGAACTATCTTTAGAACAAAACGGCAATTTGTTTTAATCGTCAAAGCATTTAAAAAATAAGGTTATTCATTGATGTTCGTTTATTTGTTACTGTTATTTCTGGTAGAGTAGTTTCGATTATTTTTATTAAAATTAATGTACCTAATCTCGAAAATAAGGTGGTGCCAAACCATTTAATACTTTATGTACAAACACCATAGTCAAATAGTATAATCTCTGGTAAACCGAAATCCATTGCAGTGATCTAAGCATGGATAGGAGTATATCGCACCCCTGTTTCAAAAGTGGCGTAACGTTATAAATGTTAATTTTACAGGAGAAGCGAAACAATAACGATTGTGTATGTAATATTTTTTTGAGCAGCATTTTTAGTACTTGTGCTTACCAAATTCGGTATACATATTGATTAAAAATGCCTCTACTGATTAATGATACTTGTAATGTAATGTGAAATCTACACAGATAGCCTAAAACAAAAATATGTTATTTGATATGGCAGTACTGTTGATGGCGCCTCGCGCGGAATTTATTAGAACTATTGATATGGCACTTTTATATATTGTAGGCATGTTCATAATGTATACGTTGGGCAAAAGTCATTTTAAATTTTTTTAGTGATATGGCACTATTGAAAAAAGGGTGCGATATTTGCAACATCTCAATATAATCCTCATACCATTATTTTGCATTTTTTTGTAACTGTATCGTTTGGTTTAGGATGAAATGGAAGATAACCGATGAGCAATAATCAAAATGTGGTAGAATAATTGAACGACAAACTGTAATTTTAGTTTAAGCTGATAGGGTTTTAATATTCTTTTACAAAAAAGTAAAGATTCTTCGATATTATTTTAAAAATTAAAATGTTCACTAAAACATAAAAAATTATAAAGTTGAAAGCCAAGGTATTTAGTTGATTTTTCAATACCAATTTTCTCATCGTTAATTAATTGTAAGATTAATTGCATTTAAATCTGTTTTGTTATATGTAGTAGTTATTATGATAGCCTGGGGCTTTCGATACGTTAAGTTTAAGTTTATTATACATTCAATAATTATTTGCAGAGTTTAGAGCCCAATTTATTTATTGTATCGCATTTTCCAAATTATTATCATAATAAACCATCAAAGCATCATCTGTAAATATATTTTAAAAATCACAATCAACATAGAGGTTTAAATCATTTATATATAAGATAAATAAAAGTGGTCCTAAGATGCTACCTTGAGGTGGCAAAGTATTTATAGGTCGGAATTCAGAAACATTTATTGTATAACTTATTTTAAGAATTGAAACAATTGTACTTAATTTTAATGAATTTTCATTAATACCAAAGATATCAGAAGTAACAGAGTAAAGACTTTGTCGTTTTTCTCACATACCTGAGCAAGTAATTGCTTCGAATCTTGTTGACATAATTTATAACATATTGTAAAGACTGGTGCAATCTAGAACTCAGATTTTTTGCTACTAAATGCTGTCTGTGAATCACAGTGAATGACCAGTATCTCAGGCAGTTGTCACTTTAAGTGAGCTATAAAAGCACGATGACGACCAAC